TCAAGCTCAAGTGATAGACCTCCAAGGAAGTGGAGATATTTGAAGGAAATTTATCAAAGAACTGAACGTTGTCAAATTGCATAAATTCAAGAACCTAACTGCTTCAAAGAAGTTGCAAGCTCAAAAGAATGGTGTGATGCGATGGATGAAGAAATGAATGTCTTGGAACGAAACAAGACATAGAAATTTGTTGAATTGCCTAAAGATAAAAAAGTAATTGGATTGAAATGAGTTTATAAATTGAAGCACAAACTTGATGGCTCAATTAAAAAATATGAAGCATGACTGGTTACTCGTGGTTATATGCAATGCGAAGGTACTGACTTTGAAGAAACCTTTGCACTGGTGGCAAGATTTGACACTATAAAGGTTATTATAGCTATAACTGCACATTGCAAGTGGAATGTTTATCAATTTGATGTCAAATCAGCTTTTTTAAATTATTTTTTGGATGAGTATATCTATGTGGAGCAGCCACCAGTTTATGAGGTGAAAAGGCACGTGACAAAGGTGTGCTAATTGAAAAAGCCTTTGATATGGCCTTAAGCAAGATCCAAAGGCCTGATATGCAAGTATTGATGGACATTTCAGTAACAATGGTTTTCAAAAAAGTGCTAATAAGCCTACCTTGTATGTGAAAACAAGAGGTTTTGATGAGGTACTTATTGTTTTCCTTTATGTAGAGAATTTAATCCACACTAGCAATAGTCCTTCATTGTTGACTGATCTCAAAAAGATTATGATTGAAGAATTTGATATGATTGATTTAGATTTGATGAGCTATTTTTTAAGACTAAAAATATATCAAAGTGATGCTGGATTTTTTATTTGTCAATAAAAGTATGCAAATGATCTTCTTAGCAAGATTAAGTTGCAAGATTATAATATGGTGAAAACTCCAATCACAACTAATCAAAAGTTAAGTGTTGAAGATGGAGAAGAACAAGTTTATGCTCATGTTTATCGAAGCTTGGTAGGAAGCCTGCTCTATCTCACTTATACTAGATCGGACATCTTACAAGCTACTAGTCTTTTGTCCATATTTTTGCAAAAACCAAGCAAGGTACACTATGGGGCAACAAAAAGAGTGTTAAGGCACTTGAGAGGAACAACTTCATACAGTTTGTTTTATAGCACCGATAGTTTGAATTTGCATGAATATTCGAATAATGATTGGGCAAGTTGTGTTGATGATCCTAAAAGTACCACGAGATATGTTTTTAGTTTGGAATCAATTGTCATATCTTAGAGCTCAAAGAAGCAAGCATCTACAACTTTATCATCATCGGAAGCTGAATACATGGTTATAACTTCAACAACTTTTTAGGCAATGTGGTTGTAAAGAATTTTAGAAGACATGAAGCAAAAGCAAGAGGCAACTATGATTTATTGTGATAATCAGTGACCATTATTGTGGCGAAGAATCTTATTTATCATAATTGCACGAGACATATCGAGACTTGACATCATTTTATTAGAGAATTGGTGGCAAAAGAAAGCATACAGATTGCATATTGCAATAAAAATTACCAACTAGCTAATATGTTTACAAAACCTATTCCTTTGGCAAAAATTTGAATATTTTAGACAAATGATTGGTTTTATAAGTTTTTACATTATGAGAGAATGTTAAATATAATGCATAAATTAGTAAATCGTATGTTCTCTTTATTTAATCACATGATCTTTTATGTTTTTAGTAATCTAAATTAATTATTCTAATCTTGTGGACAGTGGGTAAGTAGTAGATATTTTAGGAACGTGCTTATCACTGAGTATTTATTTGCTGATTTTGTGAGTTTCTAGTTTCAACTTTGGTGTATGAATTTGCTGGCTGGAAATAATAAAATCAGATAAAATTTTCAGCATTTTTTTTATTCTGCTCACTACCAAGTTAATAAAAATCTTGAGTGAAGTCTCTGAGTTGTCGCTCGGCCTCTCTTGATCTTGCAGTAAAGTAGAGAAGTTTTTTTTTTGGAACCATTTTAAAGTCAACATGCATTGTGTCAGAGGAGGATATTGTTTGACCACATAGATATGTAATATAATATAATATTTAAAGCTGTCATGTCCCCTACAACATCACATGGAGTATAATTTTCCCGCGATTTCAGCTTGTTCTTCCAGTTTTATCAAACGCATGCAATTTCACATGGGTTCCTAAGATACCTCCTCTCCTCTCCTGCCCTTTCAATCTCAATCCGGGACACCACAATCACTTTACTTGATCACTTCATTTTTCCAGCACCTTCAAATAACTGATCAATCATGCTGACATATTGCCCAACTTTATATATATATATATATATATGTATATGCATCATATTTTATTTTCTTCTTAATTAATATTTATATATATATATGTGTGTGTGTGTGTATATCTTTTCAAACTATAATACAAGTTATTGTGTTTTGCATTATAGTTATAGACAGATATTAATTATAATATTACAAGATATAATTTTAATCAAAATGCACGATATTGCAACTTCAAAATTTCTTACTGAAAAATAAAGATGTATCATCCAATTATGTAAGAGCTTGTTGAAAAAATTTTAGGAGATAAATTATCTCTAGCTAATTTTTGTTGGAAATGAGAGGAATAAGAATGGAAAGATTAATAGAAATACTTAATTTTTTATTTGTGATTGTTACGAAAAAAATTTTAAGTACATTATAGTATATATAAATATTACCATAATTTTTAAAATTTTAAATACATATATCGTAACTAAATTTAATTTATAATTATAATTAAATTTAAGACATGAATTACATAAAAAAAAAAATTCAAAACATATATATTTATAACCTTAATTTCTAAATAAAATAATTTATAAATTATTATTTTTAACTCTCTAGTAACACAAATAAATGTTCTTAATTTATAAGTTATTAATTTTAGTTCTTTAATAAGATAAAATTTTTACTTAAATTATCATTTTCAACAGAGCTTTTGAAAAATATATGCTGATTAAATCTCATTGGTCCTAGAAGGAGACCGACATGAGACAGCAGTGAAGGAAACAAAAACTGGGTTATCAGGTGAAGTATGGAATATATATGTATATATATAGGGTATAGGGCAAACAACAGCGACAGTACCTTTTCAAGAATGCAACAAAAGAAAATTAAAAATGATGAGAATGATGATGATGGGATATTTCTTATTAGCCATAAATAAACGTGTACATACCTATACATACATACATATATATATATATATATAAACATATGTGTTAATTTAGAATCTACGATATATATTGACCCACAAGTAGTGCAAGCGGAAGAGTGGTGGCAATCTGAAAAACAAAAAGTTGTTGAAGAGAGAAAAAGCTGCGCTGATTTTTCTAAGAATCCAGTGTGTGAAAAGGAAAGAGACAAAAATGAAGGAGATGATCAAGTGGGTAACGTGTCCTGTAATTGGAGATGGTGAGGTCCCCAGTCATCCGCCATGGAAGTTCGTAAGAATACAACTTTTCAGAGGAATTTATACGTGTCAATCTTCCATTTGCTTCTTCCATTGCTAATGTCATCCTCACTTTCATGCATCATCAGCATTTAATTCCGAAAAATTATACGCAGCAACACGAATAACTTGTATAAGTGACATACATACATACATACATGTATCGATTGTACTGTACATCGCCCTTGTCTATAATCTTAAATACCATCTGGGTACGTTTTTTACGGTGGTTTTCCTTCGTCATTATCACACTTATTCCCACCCTTTTGAGTATATATATATATGTATGTATTTATATGTATTATATATACATGTGCGTGTGTGTGCGTGTGTGTGCGAGTGACTACGTGGTGAAGTTGTGAAATCATGCATGACAATGGTAATTTACGTGAAGCCTCGACGTGGCAACTCTAATAGCCTTGTACGACTGCTTATGTCATCTAACTTACATACTCGACTTATATATATATATAGATTCTTTTATTTTAAGTAAACACAAAGTTTTTAATTGTATAATACATTTTTCAAATCTGGTAACCTCTAATTATTATCCTCTATCTAACTTTATTTCGATTAATCAACTTCATTGATGGTACAAGGATAATTTTGTCTCTCACTGTGTTAAACCCCGATATTCAAATTTGAGTACTATGAATAAACTGGTTATTGGCAATGGATAAGGTTTGTCAATTTCTCCGACTGAAAAAGCTCTGTCACTAACAGTTCTTGCCCTTTAAAATTTTGACCTAATTTATTTTTCTATTAAGGATCAAGCCGCGCCAAATGTTTCTTCTACCTCCGAGTCATGATCTTTTCTCGACATCTCCAATCTCATCTTGCATCTTCATCAACATAATTTACCTTTTAAATCTTAATCTTGGTGGGACTCTATTTATCTTTATAAAATTCTTTAGAAATTTTTCTCTCCCTCAAAAGTGTTCTATTAATTTTGGTAACTCTACTCTCCCTCATCATGATACAAGTGTCTTGGTCAGTAAAAATATTGTGGATAAGAAAGGAATGTTTCAAAGATTGTTATAAAGCCATCGGTTTGGTACTGATTATAATGAGACTGTCAGTCACAATAAGAACATTTTATGAAGAAATTATGGGAACATATAAAACAATATTGAAAAGTTCAAAAAAATTAAGTTCCTTAGAAATTGGAAACAACTTTGTCTCCCCAGATAGAAAGTAAATAATTCAGCTCTGTAAATCTTGATATTTTCTTTTGTTCTAACCAATTTTTTCTGCCACCAAACGCAGGCTTTAGACTGATTTGTAATAGAAACCAAAAAATAATTTCTATTATTCGAAATGCTAACAAAATTTTCTTTACCTCAGCGCCGAAGAACAAGACAACAACAAGCTTTCCTTGGTTACAAAATAGTAGATGAAATTGAAAAGAAAAATTAAGAAGATGATTATTACCTGCTGAAAATGCTTAATTAATCCTGTTTCCTAAATTTGTTTCCGGCAGTGATCGTAACTCGGCTCCTTTTCCACCTCTCACAGATGAAACTGGTCCATATCAAGCAAAAACTTCATATGTATATAAATTGTCTCCCGAAAGAAAGAAGAATATACAATGAAGGCAGAAGTAGCCTTGATCGATATCATTACAAAAGCTTAAAACTTTAGAACATTTTCAACTCAAATGAAACTGTAACGAGTTTCCAAAGAGAATAAAGCGCTCAAGGTACAAAATAAATAGTGATCATTATTCTTCTTGCTTTTGGTTATGATGTCCTTGGGGTAGTTGCCTATAGCCTTGGTGCAAGACGAGACTGAGGTTGGTCCCAGTCAGTAACAATGTGATTACGGGTGATTTCTTTGATTGAGCGGCAGCCACTTAAAGCCATGGTTAGCTCAAACTCCTCACGCAGCATTTGCAGCACCTTTCTGACACCAGCTTCCCCTTCAGCAGCCAGCGAAAAAACCACAGGTCGTCCAATCTGAGATTCAAAATCATAATGAGGGGAAGATGAAGCAGTTTGTTTCGTAAATGCTTTTATAATAAGGTCAATGCTCATGCTCCCCTTTCATGACTTACTAAAGTGGATCCTTGCCGAATTCAAAATTATCCCAGAAAATAGAGCAAGGGGAGAAATAGTTTTTAAAGTTAATCAATGCCCTTCTAGATTTATAGATGGAATCAGCACTTCTATGGCAGCTTAACACTTACAAATATGCCTGAGGCTCCAAGCGCCAGGGCCTTGAAGACATCAGTTCCTCGCCTAACACCACCATCCAGGAAGACAGGCACTCGACCTTGGGCAGCCTTGACAACCTGAGTCACAAAGATACAAGGTATAAGTATATTGTTGGATTTGGAACTGTTTTTCACTTCAAGTTAGTATTCATATCATCAGGTACAACAATTAGTTATAATCCCAGGGATGTACCTCTTCCAAGGCCATGATAGTGGCAGGGACATAATCCAGTTGGCGAGCTCCATGATTTGACACAATAATCCCCGCTGCTCCAGCTTGGATCGCTATCCTGGCTGCATGATCAACGTAGCAAAGTAGTTCAGGTATTGTACCAAAATTATGAAGATGAAGCGTAATCACATTGCTCTTACCATCCTCAGCTGTGAGCACTCCCTTCACAAGGATTGGCAGGCTGGTGATTGACTGAAGCCACTGCACATCCTATAAATCAAAGGAAATCATTCAGAGTGACAGTTATTGTCAAAACAGGTTTTGATCTCAATATCTCATCTTTGAGAGTATATCCCTGATTAGTCTTATCAAACTAAATGATATTTGGAAACAATTTGGATCCTGACATTATCACTTGATGCAAAAACTTTTCAGAACAATACAACTCCTAAAATTGGCATCTTTTAGAAATTTGCCTGTCCATTGGGAAACATAAAACTTTTCTCATCCTGTTTCTTGTTACACCCTTTGAATGAATTATGATTTTCATCAGCT